AAAGGTGCATGTGGTGTGAGAGTATTTGAATGAGCTTGCAATTTTCTTTGGTTGAAGAAACACACCCACAATTGCTCAGTTCAGTCCCTAGTTTAGAAATACCTTCAGATTTTTTCACTGCTATAATCACATAGCAACCTCCTGGAGTAAAGCTGTTCTTTTCATAGACATTAGGGCTGGAAGCGACCTCGGAAGATCATCTTGGGTTGGCTGGGAGATGCTGTGCCATCCTGCTGGACAATAAACTGGCATCTGTTTTTTATTGTTTTTTCATCTCTTGGCTGGGCTACAGCAGCTCCTGGCCATGAAGCTTTCAGTCCTTAAGAAACTCCGTTCTAGTGCAATGCATTGCAGTGCATCACCTCAGCAGTGCAGACAAGGGCAAACACATGATACCCATCCTCCATTCCCTATAGTAGCTTGCCATTGAATACAGGGTCAAGTAAGCTGTGCCCCTTATCTCCAAGGCACAGAATTACAAATCAAATAAGTTTTGGAGAAAGTTCCCGAGAGGCACCTCCAGGAGCCTCCAGATCATGTATCTGTCCCTGCGGGGTGCTCCAGAGAAGCTATGCAGCCAGTGGGGAGAGATGAGCATCTCCACAAAACCCCACAAGCTGAGGAGGGAGCCCCCTAAACTGGGAGAGCACCAAATGGTAGAGGCTGAACCCAGGAGTGTCTCATTGGATCCAGATCCCAGAGTCCTCATCTGAGAGCAGGGACCTAACTCAGAGGGGACGTAAGCCGGAGCGTACCTGCACATGTAACTGGAAGCCTAAATTTAGACACCCCTAGAATCCAAAATGTGCATGCTGAACAAACATTGGTGCCTAATAGTTTTGGAGCTGCTGGAGTAGGGCTTTTGAGGACTGCCTTCTTTCTTTCTTTGACTTAGGCACCTTAATTCTAAGCCCCGTATTAGACGCCTGTTTGGATCTCACCTGTGGTCCTTACCTTCAAACCATTCAATGGTGTGGGCCAAAAAAAAAATCCACCAGTCAACCTCCAAGGTGAAAATCATTGTCAGTTCTTTGGCACGCAGACTTTTTCCACTGAGAGCAATGCTTTGTTGGCCAAGAGGCGTTGCTTTCTGTGCAGCTGACCAAAACTGTGGAGCAAGCTGCCTCAAGAAGTAGGGACCAGGACAAGCCTCACCATTTGGCTCTACATGAAAAGCATATTTCTTTGGGCTGGTATTCTCCCACGTAAATGCACAGTCCTGCGTGTATATTTTTCAAATTCCTTCTGAAACAAAACACTCCTTTGCACACACCTATCCCCCTGAGGAAAGGAGAAGACAACACACACAGGACAGATGTTACACATGACACATCATTCAGCGCCCTGTCAGAAGAATCTCAGATGCTGTAGTGACGAGCGTGGCAAAACAAACTATTTAGACTAGGACGGGGCACAGGCTTTGCAGAGGCTTGGGCAGGCACCAAGAAGGAGAGCTGAGTCATCTTCATAATAAGGGGGAAAGGATGCCGAGGTTATGCAGACCTGCTGAATGTTTCCCAGCAAAAATCCAGCACATTTCTGGGTTCTTATGATTTCATACATTGGGAATTTGCAGCTGTTAGAACAGACCCACTTGTCTGGTCGGGCCATTTGTTTGTAGCGTGCAAATTATGGAAGATTCAAACAGACAAAGGTGCATTTTAGGAATTGCCTTTGTAGGCAAACAGGTTAATAAATAAGGGTGGTTCAGATTGTGGATGCTTGTTCTTGCTCAAAAAGAAAATGGGCAATTTATAATGTTGTACACCAAAACGGTGGAAAGGGGGGATGCACATTAAGTTTTACCTGGAAAGTATTAAATGGACTGTACAAAGTTAGGAGTTCCTTCTTCTTCAGCATGAAAGGTTCAGGACAAATATTTCATGAGAGATTTATGCAGGGCATGGTTTAACAAATGGGAAACTCATGCAAGTAGTGGTAAGTAATGTCTCAGAGCAGCAATTGTGCAAGTAGATCAAATTTCCAGAGGCCATTGGGCAAATCCAGAATCTGACCAAGAGGAAAAACTGCAAACAGCTTCCCTTCTGAAAGGCCTTTCTGCTCTCAAAATGACTCCCATGCCTCTGACATCAGTTTCGTTCCTATATACGTGTGTGTGTGTGGGTGTGGGGGGGGGGTGTGGGTGTGTGTTTGTGTGCATGTGGGTAAACATACCTAACACCTGTAACTAACAAAAATATTAACACAAAAAGCCAAATAACCACTTTCTCCAAAAAGGAGAAGAACCAGAAGCCCCAGGAGTCTGAAAGGGCCTTTGCTGTTACTATTGACTTCAAGTGGAAAGCATTCAGATGCTACAATAATGAGTGTCACTATAAAAACTCTTAGATAAATAATATTTACAAGACAAACAAGGAATCTGAGTAGCTCAACTTATAACCTGTTCAAAAAGGAGGGCAGTATACAGAGTTTCTGCCCTGTTAAATATTTCTCAGGAAGGCTGTTTCTCCCGTTAGTTCTTTTGTATGCGAGGTATCTGAAATTCATTCTCTATGAGACACTTCTAAGCCAAAGAAATAAGTTATGTTTCATTGGTACATGAACTGACTTAGGCTGACTTTGTCTTTGAAATACGAGAGAATGCCAGTAAAGATCTTGCATGGCTGAGAGTCGTTACTATAAGCCTGATTTATCAGGAATTTACATAGAAGAGCCCTACAGCCAAATTTATGCCTTGAATTTAAAGGTATTAGATGAGCATGTGGTTTCTTTATGGGTACTTTTTTTTTAACCAAAGGAAAATTTGAACCCAGACCTCCTTGCCCTGATTAATTCACTTGTCAAAAGGCAAAGGAAGGACAAAACTAAAGACAAGGTAAATTGTGTTGGTTTTGTGATGTGGGTGTCCTTCCTTGAGCTGTGAGTGCCTTACCCTCCATTGTTAGAGAAGCTCATATTTTATAATTATGTTCAATTCACCTGTACATCTAGCCACCAAGGTTACAGCCATAGCCACCTCCATCTGGCAATAGTCTCTGCTCTTCACGTTCCAGTCTCAGTAAGCCATGCCTTCATTACATCGGGACTGGGGCAATGACCCATGCAATGCTCTCCTCTGTAGGGCTAAGCACTGTTGAAATCCCAGAGGTTACAGAAGATACCACAACCTCTCTGGTTAGTGTGGGCTAATGCTCAACTACCCTCATAATGAGGAAGTTCTTCCTAAAATCCATCCTCAGTTTCTCCTGCTGCAGTTTAAGACCGTTGTTCATCGTCCTGTCTTCTATGGCCACAAAGATCAGACTATTACCACCCTCCTTCTTAACCAGCCTTCAAGTATTTGAAGGCTATTATCACACATCCCTCCCTATGCCACCTCAGCTTCTCTTCTGCAGACTAAATAATGGTAATTCTTTCAGCCTTTCCTTATAAGTCATTTCCCAGACCCCTAACTATTTTTGTTGCCCTCAGCTAGACTGTTTCTCATTTGTACACATCTTTCCTAATGGGTGGGATAAAAACTAGATATAATACTGCAGGTAAGGCTTCACCAGTGCCAAATACACCAAAAGAATCACTGCCCTTGCCTTGCAAGCAATACAGCCCAGTACACTATTGATCAACAGGTATGATACATCTGATGGTGCCGAGAATAAAGAGCAGGAGAAATCATTCTTGATGAGCTCTTCTCCCTGACAAATCTCCCCGAAGAAAGACTGTATATGGAATGCAACTCAAATGAACAGGGAATATTTTCTTACTAGGAAAGCTCCTGTATCTGATGCACAAACCATCCAGTGACCAGTAGATAAATACAAGACGTTCCAGTAGGCAGATACTGAAGATCAAGATCCAGATGAGAGGTCCAGAGCACATGGCACATACCACAGCACTGGAAGTGGGATGCAAAGTGAGCTTTAAGCCTTGTTCTCCTAATCCTAGGGTGTCTAGGCCATGGGGTGTTGGCAGAGCTTGCTGATGGAGCTGACCAGGACCTGGACTTGAGGATTTTCTATGATCCTCATACATCACAAGATACTAAAATAAAAATCTTTCTTTCATATGTACTTGTGTCATGGAGACCCGCATAAGCAAACCACTGCGGCACATTAATACTTGCTCTCATTTTCCCTCTCTTGGCTGGGCATATAAAATGATGGGGAAAAGAGGCGGCGGTGAGAAGTGGCGGTAACCAATTATCTCTATTTACATATCCTTCTATGGGCAAATGGGTTTTGCTTAGTGCGGTTCTGCTTAACACTCATTTTTTCTGGAAACAATTAAAAGCAGGGGGTTTGCCTGTATATTAAGTAAAAATCAAGTGCGCTAGGAACATTTTGAATACATGCACCAGTTATTCTGGGATTCACCACTATGCACAGTAATTTGCTCAAACCAATGAAAGCTGTCAAACCTGTAGAAACATTTAAGATCTAATCTATCTGGATCAGCTTAAGCTTATCAGTTACCATGTGATGAGTTTTAGAAGTCAAGTCTGAACCTTTTTTTATTATTATTAGAGACACGGGGAAGTCAATACATTTGTACAATATTTAAGTTTTGAGATTTCTTAAGACTACAGTCTGTGCCAATTTATTAGAAAATAAGAGCTCAGGAGGTATAAAGAATCCTGACCAGCTGCAACCCTCAGATAGTACCACAATATCCAGGTCAATTCCGGTGAGTAAATTTTTATGATACTTTCAGTAATGAAGCTTACAAAATTAAGTTTTATATTGTCATCCAGCAGGGTAAATACAATATACGTTACAAGATTACAGGGTACATAGCTGGGAAGTACTTCCAAGGTTTAAATTCATAACTGGTGTGAAAATCAAGAGTAAGAAAGGGAAAAAGCAAGGAAAGGAAATAAAAATGTTGGGAGAAAGAGTGATCCTGGGGTGCATCATCAGATGTAATTGTGACCTAGTGATCAATGTCTGACCTCTGGGCATGGGGGAGGTTTTACAAGCACCAATGTCTCTGTATGGAATTGCAGTATTTTGCTTAGATTGATACATTGTGTAGCTTGCTAAGTGTACAGGGCAAAATTTTAGGCATAGTGTCAACACAGGGAGGATAGGAGAAAGAGAGAGAACCTCATGGCTAAGGACAAGCCAAACAAAACGTGCAAGGGCCAGCAGTCTTCAGACTGGACCTGAGCCTCCTATCTGTGTCAGGCAAAGTCTCCATCAAAGTCTAGGAAAGTTTTCCATGTGGGAGGAAATCAGAGATAAGGCCATAATGCTTATGTGTGCATGTGTGACATGCAAACACACCTGTTTATGCAACATTAAAGTTGAGGAAACAAAGCAGTTCAAAAGTCAAGGAAAGCAGATTTAAGGTTGAATACTTGTCTCTCAGTCTGCCTCCCTGGCTTTACCCTTTAAAATATGATTTCTCTGCACGCCTCTGTTTAATAAACCAGCTAAGGGTGTTCCATGATGCAAGGCTCTCTGCTTCTTCCACTCTGCAAAGGAAGAACATAAACAGGTAAAGATATTATCATTCTTGTACTCATAGGGCACATCTACACAAGATGCGTTAATGTGCATTAGCCTAATTTAATGTGTGTTATGGGCATGTGTCTACATGTGCACGCCTGTAATGCTCATTAAAAATGGCAAAATTAAGCTAATCGCACCTAAATTTGATACTGCACAAATGCAGGTATCAAATTTAGGCGCAATTAGTTAAAGTAAGTTAATGCATGTGTAGACGTGACCCAGCACTAACTTTAGTGCTGGGCCTGCCCAGCCACTAGGGGCACATGGCAGGGCTGCAGGGACTTGGCGCTAACTTTAGTGCCAAGTCCTGCACATGTAGACACCTGCCAAAATGGCTTAATGCACATTAGCTTAATGTGCATTAAATTTAGTTGTGCTTAAATGCATGTGTAGACATGCCCATAGAGTAAAACACAACTCACAGCTTGAGGTGTTCTGGGCACAGATCATGAGGGATGACCTGTGATCTCCAGTTTGCAGAAAATTAGACCTCAGAAAGGATATTTTAAATTGATCTTTTGAAAAACTGACACAGGCAAATTAAAATGGGAGCTGAAGCTCACCCTCATCTGGATCGTCAGCATCCTTTGCTCACTACTATGGAGAGAGCCCATCTATCCAAATGCACAGCTACCGACGTGCATGCCGATATTTCATCTGGTGGTCAATGCCTATTGAAAGCTCTCAGGATCAGCTGCTTCCTGGAATTTTTCATTCTTTTCACGATCAAGTGATTTATAGGGGATATGGCCACTTCCATCACCTGAGGAGATGGGCACTGCATTATTCTGGTGGGCCCCAACCACTGATGCAGTAAGTTGGCTGGCACCTCCCCTAAGTATCACAATTGCAGTCATTTCCTGAAATATTCTTGAGAGCTAACTGCATAACTTTTTTTTTCTTTAAGAGAACATTTTATTTGTTAGAAGTAAATTGTGCAAGAAGCTAGAGCAAGAATAGGATTCGTTATCAGCATAGCAAGGTATTTTTTTTCCGTCAAGAAACTGGAACTCATGGCTAGAAAAGGAAAAGTCTTTCAAATTGCATATTCTTTTCAATCCTTACCTCTCATATTCTTTTCAAGCTTTTTTTTAGTGTTTCATTCAGTTCTGAATGCTCACGTCAAACACTGATCTGACCTTTATTTATTTTTCTTTCCTAAAGGACTGAGTGGTTCGTTTGGCGCAGAAAATAGCTTTAACTATCAGTTCAAACAACTGCTAAGGGCAGAGACTGAAATCTAACACTTCATTCCAGCCTCAGAGGAGCCAATGCTTCACATTAAATATCAGATAAGGGGAAACAACTCAATTTAGTCTGGCTACGCATTTGTCAGACTTCTGTGCAAGATTCAAGCATGAGCAAGATGGAACCTAGGAGGTGGAAACCAGATATTCCAGTGCATTCTTAACAACATGCAAATGCTGTAACCCATTCAGTTCATGTTTGAAACCCTGAAGTTAGTCTGGGTACAGTAGATTTTGGAGGGGAAAATCTAAGGGGGGGCAGGGAAACGATGAAACCCAATCCTAGCAATTATCTGTGCCCTTCTTCACACACTGAGTTCAAAGCTGCTGAAGCAAGAAGTCACGTAAATTAAGTGATGCATTAGTGTTCTGGGCACCGACGTCCCAAGTCATGTGGGGCACAAGTAAGGTGAGATCAAAAGACAAGCAGGAATAGTGAAGAAAACAATTCCTACTCTGGAATATTTTTGACACCGAAAGCTTCCATGTTGCAGCTATTCTTTGGACATCTATTTCCATAGCTAATTGTGCCAGACCTTGCACCAACTTGGAAAGCTAATGAGCCCAGTTTCCCAACCTGGTGTGCATCTGAGACTTGGCATCTCTACCTAATTGCTTGTGTCTGCAGTTTGGTTGGAAGAGTAAGTCTCAGTGAGCTGATAGCTGTTCTGTGCTGGAGTATGACCCATTCAACCCCACCACCCACCCAGTTCAGCTCATATGACTAAAATCAGGAAATGCAAGTCAAACTTTTGCCAAACACTCCTTAGTTCCACAAAATGTTACGCCAAGTATTTGGAACGTTGGTACAGAAAATTAGGCACCTAACTCCATATTTGGGCACCTACTAATAATGTGCATATAGGTACCTACCTTTAAGGTGCCCTCATTTCAAAGAAAACACTGAGTCAAGCCTGCTGGGCACTTAACATATAGTTTGAAGAAGCCTATGCACTATGCACCATGTACAGTTTATCCCATTAATCTCTCACTAAAAGCAACAAGTCCAACTGGCTTCCACACCAGAGAACCCACACGGAGCCTCACAAGGGTACCACCACATCCCAGCAGTTATTTTTCCTACGGTCATGTTGTTGCATCAGTGAATCTTTCTCTGGAGCATGTCTAATGCATTCAGTTGCCCTGAAGCCAGGGCTTTACCTGTGCTCACACACCATAAAAAACCCAGTTGTTCTGTGGGAACATCTGCTTGTTTGTGCTACACCCAAGCACCCCACACAGAATTTTTCTGTCTGTAAGTTACTTTCTGTCTACTAGTTACTTTTTGCCAACAGCAATACACACCTTACATGCTGAGTAGACTATTTTAACAGGAGGGAAATGCTTTCTGATCTTTTTTTTTTATTTTTGCTTGCAATGGGTTGGGGGAGAGCTAGGCAAACCCCTGCTGTATAATGGGGACCTGTTTGAAAGAGAAAGGGAGCCTGTGTGGCCACGGTTGGGTCACAATGCTTCTCATTCTGTGGAAGTTATTTATTCAGAAGGGAGTTTCTGATCACCTAAGTAATTACCAAGTAAAGGTTACTGTAGGACTTTGTGACTGAGGGTAACTAGATGTCTGCGAGTCTACTTAGTGAGTCATGGGGATTTTCATAGCCAGGGCAGTGATCTGAATCCAAGCCAGGGCAGAAGAACAGTGAAAGGAAGTCCCATCCGAAAGTCCTGTCTTGGCGTCCAGGAAACGGGCTGCTGATTTAGCACAGCTCCTACTTAACCAGTACAATTGCTAATCCCTGCACTCCTACCCACCCTCGTTGTTGTTTGACTTGGAGAAGTCAAGAACTGAAGGTGAAGACCGCTGAGCCACTCCCTCCAGCTCTGGGGTGAGGCTCACTGGTTGAGCTGGGAGAGAAGCTCTGTGTTAGGCCATGCATGGACAAAGCCAGGTGCCAGGATTACATCCTTGGCACTTCTCTGTAAATGCCAAACCCCCGCCCCCCAACATTCACAAGCAAGGCTCAAAGGATCATGATGCTATCTTGAGAGACCTGTGGTTTAAAATAATCATAATTTATTTGCTTCCTAGTTTTTTCAGCCTTTAGCATACACTTGGGCCCCCTTTTTTGCGTTTCTGTGCAACCATAGGGTCTAGAAACTTGCTCTAAAAAATGAACAAGCACAGCTGAGATTGTTGTATAATGCCAGGACTCCTAGACCTGAGGTTTTAAAAAAAATAACACTTTATATGGCAAGATTCATAATAAACCTGCAAGAGCTGGAAATACTGCTTACACTTGCACATAAGATCACTTTGAATTTTTTTGTTAAGGAAAATAAGTATACTCTGTGCCGGATTTAGACATAAACTAAGTAAACTTCAGTTTAGGGCCTCACATTATGAGGGACCTCTAAACCAACCCCCAGGCCGTGAAGGGTTGTCTTCCAGACCAGAAGTGACTGTGGACCGGCAAACCGCGGCCTTGCAGAGCTGGGCGGAGAGGCCACAACTCCTCCCGCAGGGCCCGCAGCAGCCGCGGTTGGGTTTGGGCCCAACCAGCATATCATAATCTGAGTATACTTCATAGATGAAGCCATTTGTAGGTCAAGCTGGTGGTTCAGTTCTCACCACAGGACCCTCTTCCTTTTGCTCTAATGCTGGGCAGTGTTGCTTATGTTGATCATTTGCAGTTAAAATCCTCAGGATAAGAAGGTATTTCAATAATGTCTTTGCTACAGACTTGATCACAAGACTAATACTTTAAAACCTCATTGCTAGTCCTACAGGATTTATGACTATGCTTCCCGCTCATCAATCCATTTCAGAGCCTACGCAGAGCTTTTCTTCAGTTCTGCATAAGCCCTTCACTTTGAATTTATGATCGGGGTGTACTCTTGCTCATCAGCAAACAAACATTTCTCTTTTCCATAGGCTGGTTCAGAAGCCCTTTTTTCAAAATGAGTCATTTTACTCTTAATATCGTGCTTTGTATTCCTGGAGTGATCACCCAGACTGGGTAGTGCACCCAGTAGTGGGTAGTGCACAAACACATGCTAGACACTCCTATGTTTGTAATCTAAGTACACAAGATACATATAGGGTGGGGAAGGGAACAAGTACAGAACCGATGTGACTTTCCCAGAACAATAAGGAATACAGTATGGGTCCCTCAACTACCACGCAAGTGTTCTAGCCACTAGCCCAAGCTGCCCTTCAGATATTGCACCTCTTTTCCACGTCAACCACTATATTGAGTTCCCCTCTCCCGAACCCCCACACACCGAGTTATTTTTCCCAGAGTTATTATACTAAGTAGAATCATAGAAAATTTAGGTTGTAAGGGACCTCAGGAGGTCATCTACTCCAACCCCCTGCTCAAGGCTGGACCATCCCCAACTAGATCATCCCAATGATAGCTTTGTCTAGCCAGGCCTTAAAAACTCTTAAAGATGGCGATTCCACAACCTCTCTGGGTAATCTGCTCCAGTGCCTTACTACCCTCCTCATGAGAGAGTTTTTTCCTAATATCTAACCTATACTTCCCTTGCTGTAGCTGGAGACCATTGCTTTTGTTCTCTCATCTGCCACCACTGAGAACAGTCCATCTCCATCCTCTTTGCAGTCTCCTTTCAGGTAGCTGAAGGTTGTTATTAAATCCACCATCAGTCTCCTCTTCTCTAGACTAAATAAGCCCAGGTCCCTCAGCCTCTCCTCATAGCCATGTGCTCCAGCTCCCTAAACATTTTTTTTTTGCCCT